CGCCGGCAGTTGTCTCCGTCTCCTCCCGTTAGGTGATTTGCAAACCCTTTCTCAAGAAAAAAACCACTTTTCATTTTCCAAGGTCTCTTCTTTCAACTCAAGCCTTTCAGAAGATTTCTCCCCATTCCCCATTTCCACCAGGATGGAGGTTCAAGGTTCAGTGTGGAACTACCTCAATAGGATTACTTTTTTGCCTCTGCAAGAAATATTAATTGCCAATAAATCCCCTTCCTCTAAGGCTCATGATGGGTGGACTGCATGCAATAATTTCACACTATTCCTTCTTTTCCCCCAGGGGTTGGCACTTCATAAAGTGACCTACAGCTACTGGAGTTTATGAGCTCTGAATAAACAAAACACTGTTGATTTAACCAGTTGGGGTGTTTACTTTCAATAGCAACAGTTACTGACATAAGGCAGCAAAGCAAATGCTATAGAAATACTCACACTTGGCCTGGAGCAGTGTGTCAACCTATTAACAGGGGACATTATTTTTCTATTTTATTTGACTGTTTGCAAATCAATATGTCATGGATACACAGTGCCAAGAAATACAAAGCAAGCAGTGACACGAGAAAGGGAGCTGCTGTCTTGGAGCCTGCACCACCTCCACTGAGCTCAGCTTGCAGGGAAGCAGTCCCTGTGCTGCTGCCCCTGCCCACAGCTTCACATGGGGTGCACAAGCCTGGAGGTTGACTGAAAGAAGTGTGCCAAGGCAGGTAAAGGTGTTTCTTGCTTCCCACCTGCCCACAGCATCCGTAACTTTCTTTTTTCAGCAGACAGGACACTTGAGTTTTAGGAGAAAGAAAAAAGGGATGTTTTGAGACAACTGATTACCTAGATAAGTCTATTGTGCCTCCAAATCTCCCCCACAAGAGTGTTGCCCATTGCTACCAGCAGGTTACAAACAACGATCTCGGTTGTATTCCCTAACGTGCTCCCTAGGGAGTCCCAGCTGTGACTCACCACTCCTGACATGTCTTTCCAAGCCCCCCAAGTCTCTTGGCTCCAGCCACTGATTTCTGTTGGATTTCAGAGGAGCAGACAGAGTTGGGTGTCTGGTGCTCAAAGAAAACCCAACTCCTAGAAGCAATAGCTGAGGTGTAATTTGTTATGGGATTAATTCTTCCACCTCAGTGCAAACCTCAATGAGCCAAAGTAAATATTTCATTCCTCCTGTCACACTGTGTTTATTTACCATGAGCTGCCTGTGGTAGGATTGATAGGAGCAGAGCTCCTGTGCCCAATGCTTATCCAACATATTACTGTTGTGAGAGGCTTTGATCCCATCTGCCACACACCAAGGCACCCCCAGCTCTCCAGAGAGAGGAGAGGCAAAGGCTGGGAAGTTGTAGGATGGGAGCCACAGGAGGACCAAGGGCAGGAGACGTCTCTAGTAGGCAGGTGGACATGAGCAAGGCACCCTAGAGAGCAGCCATCAGAGGGATGGGATCATTTGGAGTATGGAGTAATGGAAGACTTAAGAATCAAGTAAATAAAGCAAATTTCTGATGCTCATGATTAGATGGGAGACCTTGCAAATGTGGTCTAAATGCTATGAAAAGAAGTACCCACTATGAATGACAACAGTTTCCAATTTGTTGCCAGCAAGACTTAATCAGCAGTTTGTGCAGAGCCATCCAAGCAAAAAGCACCAGAAATAGAGGACTTTTCTCCACCTCCTTCCTTGCACATAATTTACGATGCCCTCACAAAGGAGGAGTGACAGGCGCCCATGGCAGCAGTGTCAGATAAGTATGATACTTTCTATGAACTGCAGCCAGCTCACCAAACCAGCGTGTGATTAATGACAGGAAAACCATGGCCTCGGTTCACTTCTCCGTCAATCATCTCTGTGGGTATGCACAGCATTCCCCTTTAATCCCTTGTGGAGGAGATCTGCTGAGCTGAAGTTATGCTCAGAAGTCCATGCTCTGTGCAATGTGCTGGGGCACTTGCTTTAACCAACAGCAGGACTGCAAAGGCAGGAGCAAACAGGAGTTTATCCTCAGAGCAAGACTGCACGCAGGGCAGGCATCTCCCTTCGCTCTGACTCAGGCTTGAAAGACTAAAATATTTTGGTTGCACATTAAACGTGGCAAATGTTGTCAGAATTAGCTTTTACATTCTGTGCTTGAAGGGACAGAAAACGTTCTCTGCAGAGAAAGCAGCAGTTCCTGTGTCAGCTGTGTTTACAGCCAACTGCGTGACTGCCTTGAAGTTCAAATGAAAGGGGGAAAACTTAATTGACTTCAAATGGAAACCAGGCTGCTGCCATAACCATCATGGTTATGGTTAAACTTGCAAATAGGTATCTCCCAAGTGCAAAGAGACCATTTGTTTCTACTTTTCTATCTGACTAAACGAGGGCTCCTTCTTGCCTGCTGCTGTGTTCCAACCAGCACAGCTCCCGGCCGAGGAAAAGACTCCCTGCCCTGCCAAGACAACATTCTTCTACATGACTAGCTCTTTCCTCTGTACTTATTAATGTGTCACAAATCATAGGCTCAGATTGTCTAATATTATGGGAAAATCTACTAGAAGGAGAGAAAAATAAAGGAAACTTCCAGGGAAATTGATTAAAAGGAAATAAGATATTTGACCCAATTTAGTGGAACAAAATACGGTCAATAATAGAAACTATTTAAATGCCTTAGATGGACAAACAGTTCTTTAGCATTACGTTTTGTTTGTTTTGCTTTTTTTACCACCTTGGAATATCTATTATAAGAACAAGATTTGAGTCTCCTCCTCTCGTGCCAAGTGCAATGGTTTGTATTTTAAGGGATTCATGGGCATAGCTTAGTATCAGCAAACGTGTATTACACCAAACCAGAACTGTGACTTTGGAAAGGTTTAACCAGAATCTGTTAGAATAAAAGCTGGGACACAGTGTGGAGGATACTCCTAAGGATCCCATATACATCTTGCAGACACTTGCACGAAGCAGCTCTTGGTTGCTGACAGCATGGAGCAAAACAATCTGCCCTACAGGTGCTTATGTGGCTACTCTGAACTCCCTCAGAGCTCCCAGAGAATATCCTGCTCCTGCTCTGCTCCTTGTATGCTTCAGATGAGGAGCAGAAACACAACTCCAGGTGCTGAGGCACCTAGCTCAAGCTGCTAGATATCATGATTGATCTGTGCCCATAAATCTGTCTGATGGACAAGGAGCCTAGTGTCAAAAACTCCTTTAACACCAGAGACCACTCAACTCCCTCACCAAGAAATGAGCTCCAACTCATGGTGAAAGGCAAACCAAAGCAAAGGAATGGATCTACTCTTACAGAAATTGCCTCCATGGTTTGAAACTAACGGTCAAACCCCTCCGTGGGCGACTTGCCAAGAGGTTTGTTGCTATTAGAGCTGTCTTTGCAGGGCCAAGGGAACTCAGTAACCGTCACCCTGTGATGTCTCCACCTGCTGTGACCCTGTGCTCAGCTCTGTGGCAGCCCTGCCTGGCCCAGGGGCAGCTCACCTGCCTCAGGTGGCTGATGCTCAAACCACTGACCTCCAGCAGGGATGGCCACTGGGGCACACAGAGCTGCAGTGTGATCACAGCACTGAGGTGTGAGCAGCAGGGAGCCAGGCCAGGCACTGACCCACTGCCCAGGGACACCTCGAGTGGCACCTGTGGGGCTTCCTGCCATGTCATCAGCTCAGCATGGACCAACATCCAGGAGAAGGGATTTTTCTCACCTTTCCAGTACCACACCCTCAAGACAATGGCTTCTTACACCTAGCTAAGTGATGGCCTGTTGCTACAATTATCAGAGGGATTTCAAATGCTTTTGCTTCCTCTGTGGCTTCAGAATGAATCAACAGGCAAGAGGAAAAAAAATGCTGCAAGTTGCAGAACGTGCAAGGCTTGTCTGGATGCGAGGTCTGTGTTAAGGCACAACTGATCATTTAGCAACATATCACCTCCTTGGTCCTCCCACATAGCTGCCTGGGGAGGAACTTGCTCCGGATGATGCTTTGAACCTGTGAAATCCCCTCCTAAAATCTGTCAAGCGCTGAATGTGACACAGATGAGGTGGAACCCAATCACCCCGTGAAAAGCAGATAGTTCACAGTTCTTGCTTCATTGCAGCTAATGATCTGCTGACACTGGTGGGAGTTCTTCCCTGGGATCAGCTTCTGCTGAGGAGAGCACTCAGATATGCTGTTGGTAGCAACAGTGCTCTCGGGAGAGCCTCTCTGGTGGGGAAATAGCCAGTTCTCTCTGAGCTGCTGCTTACTCAGGCTTCCCTGGTGGGATGTGATTAACTGCTACCAGACAGGAGAGATCTTACAGCAGCATCCCTGGGGAGAAGTGCTCTCAGGTGGCCACGGCAAAATAAACCAACTTGAAAAGCAAAGCTAAAGAAAAGAGAATCCCAGCAGCACACAAGGGTGGGACAAGGAGAAAATGTCACACAGCCCCAGTGTCCCTTCTTGGCAGGACCCCTGAGCTCACCTGAGGCTGGCTGAGCTCTGCAACATGTGCAGATTGCCTGGGAGAGGCTGAGATTACCATCTCCAGTGAGGCTCAGCCTGCATTACTAACGCTGCCTGAGCCAACTGATGTTTGTAACCACCTTCCCAGAAATGGGCTGACATCAGGAAGTGCTACTGAAATGCAAAACCAGAGCTAAATAGGCAACAAACACACTACATGGAAGGGGTTTATTACTCCAGATCACTTTATACCCTCTTCCACCAGTTCAGAAAAGCACAGTCCTTAACATATCTCTCCAACTTGCCCAAATATCCAAAAATAAAAGTTGGGGAACAAATACATTTTTTTCTTATAGAAGCTTTGCTGTCTGCTGGGCAGTCAACATTGTAATACTTTAGTTATTAAAAAAAAAAACCTAAAAATAAGCCACTTATACTGGTACTTCCACTCTTAGCTTTTTTATGCTCCTAAGACTCATCAATGCAAAGACATCTCAGAGTAAATGCCTAGACATCTTAACCAAGCCAGGTGATCCTTTGCCACAATTCCCTTCCTACCCACAGGAGCTGCAGTTTGCTGAACGTTTCCTTTAGCAAATGGGCCTTTGTTTCAGCAGGGACACGTTTGGGGTGGAGGCTACTATTGTTTCAGCCATCTGGTCCCATAAAGGAACGTGACTGTTTCCTATGCAGAAAGGTGGTGGCTACTCCCACCACTCTCCCTTCCCCATCAGGGTGCCCAGAGACTTCACCAGCTGCTAAAATGCTCTGACAGTTGGTATCTCCTCATAAACATTGCCAAGAGGTCTTACATATCCATCATCCTCTCCTCAGCCTTGCCTTGGTTATTCATTTCTACTGGTTTTTAAAAAGCTGCCATCAATAATTCAGCTCCCACAATTTGATCTCCCATCCAAAACTGGCTCCTCTCTCATTCTAAGCAGTCATTTTTTAAATAAAGCTTGCAACACAATAAATAAAACTCACATATAAGAAACTCTTCAATGATTTTCCTCATGTGACTTATGGCAAGACAGGTTCTGCTAAAGGGGTGAGTCATCCATCAAAGGCAGAGGAAAACTGTTCATTATGTCTTTGTGAAATCCCCAAACCGCCAAAAAGGCACCATTTACCAACAAAAAGCATCACAGGATGCACATGAAGCAGCAAAGTGGGTGGAGCCCGTCCAGAAATGACTGTGACACGAGGGGCACCTCTCTTTCTCAGGATCCAGTATGTTAAAAGGAGTGGGAGGTGCAGGTTTCTCAGCTTACACACTTATAGGATTTGCACTGCAGAAATCAAAACTCAGTTTTCTTCTGTCCTTCAGGGGAATGCCAGAACAACCTGTGCTTTCCCTGCTTCAGCCTCCTGAGCTGTGCACTCCTTAGCATGGGGAGCTAGAAGAAACAATAACCAACCTGAGCCTCAAATTCAAACCTGTCCCTCCATTCCAGCTGTAGCAAAGGGCTGTGGTCACTCCCTCACAGACAGGACTGGCCACAGCACTAGGATCTGGCCCAGGTCTGATTCAAACCTCCAAACTTCTGTCAGCTTGTGGGTAACAAGTTCTGACTGTGGGTCCACTCAGCTGATGCTCGTGCACACACAGGGATTAGGTGGACATGCCCCACACACCCCACACTGCTCCCCTTGCCCAGAAAACACCTGGAGCCAGAGGGATCCAGCAGCAGCACACTAACAAACAAACTCTGCCCAAGCCCCCCCACCCCTTGCTGTCCTCACAAGCTGTAAGCACCTGGAGTGCCCATAGGTAAGAGCCATCGGTGGCCTAACGCTGACGCAGCCAGCACAGAAGAGCAGAGCACGGTGGGTTATTCCCCACTCAGTGCCAGCCTGGAGCAGAGGGACAAGCTGATCCCTGTGGCAGGAGAAGAATCATAGAATCAACCTGGTTGGAAGAGACCTCAAAGATCCAGTCCAACCCTACCATGGTCACTAGACCATGGCACTGAGTGCCACATCCAGTCTCAGCTTGAAACCCTCCAGGGATGGTGAATCCACCACCTCCCTGGGCAGCACATTCCAATGCCTGAGCACTCTCTCCCTAAAAAATCTCTTCCTAATATCCAACCTAACCCTCCCCTGGCAGAGCTTGAGTCTGTGCCCTCTTGTCCTGCTGCTGGTTGCCTGGGAGCAGAGACCAACCCCCACCTGACTCCAACCTCCTGTCAGGGAGTTGCAGAGGGTGCTAAGGTCTCCCCTGAGCCTCCTCTTCTCCAGGCTGAACACCCCCAGCTCCCTCAGCCTCTCCTCATGGCACTTGTGCTCCAGTCCCTTCACCAGCCTCGTTGCTCTGCTCTGGACCTGCTCCAGCCCCTCAATGTCCCTCCTGAGCTGAGGGGCACAGAGCTGAGCACAGCACTCAAGGTGTGGCCTCCCCAGGGCTGACTGCAGGAGACTGAAGGCAGCCTGAGGATACTCACAGCACTCGATGGGGTTGGATGCTGCCTGCAGGGAGACGATCCTGCCGCTGGGCTCGGGGATGTGCACGCGGAAGACGAGGCGCACGCGCGTGTTCTTCCGGCCGATGTCTGTCTCTCCCTTGCGCAGCTCGATGTCCGCGTTCCTCAGCTTCAGGATCCCTGCGCAGTCAATGCTGCCAAGCACACACACACACACAGCTGAACCTTTCTGCTCTCAAACTGCTCAGTGACAGGTGACAGGCAGGAGGATTAAGCTGTTTTGCCCTAGACTAAAAGCGGCTCCAAATATTGGCTCTGTTAAGGATCTGGCTATTGCCATGTCAGAAGCTACAGGGGAATAAATCCCAGGCACACAGCACATGAGGGATGCTGCTGGACCCCACCCCGTTCTCTGGTGACAGCAGAAGTCACCCTGGTAACATTATAATCCTGAGTCTTATTTCCCTCCAGGGCTAACCACGGGAGTGCAGATGGCAGAGCCCACCCCAGGGCAGGAGAGGGAGCCAGGAGGAGGAGGGCACAGCGGGGTAGGCAGTAACTGAGCCATGCCACAGCCCTCTGTGAGCTAGAGAGCACGAGAGCCTGCACCACCAGCCCTGAGACAGCCCAGGCACTGCACAGCAGCTCTTGCCTGCACGTGGGTACACCAGTTCAGCTCCACAGGGAATCCTAGCAGCCAAACCAGCTAATTGCAGACACCATCCAGGCGTGTTCCCCCATGGGATGTAATGCAAGCATGGAATGCAGCTCCAAAGCAGGAGCCAAGCTGCTCTCTTCTCCTTTTGGACAGGGTAGGGGCTACTGCTAGAACAGCTCTGCAGCCCAGGCACAGGTCACCATGTCATCCTCCAAAGCCCTGGGATGTTGTTCCCAGCCAAGATAGAGCAGAAAATGGTTCTCTGCTCCCATCCACTGCATCCCTGCACAAAGGGAGGGTGAGGCAGCACGATGGAGCTGAGCCATCAAATCAAAAGGATTTGGATTGCTTAAATCAGCACTGCAACTTAATATTGGGGTAAGTACACGCTTGTTTTTCAGGAGTTCCCATTCAAACATGTCTGTCTACATCAGGAGAATATGACAATCTTTACAGAGTCTGAGATCTTCAGCCCAGCAAGTCCTCAGAGGGTGCAGTGAGCAGTGTTATTAAACAGGCACTGCCAACCCATTTTGCTATCAGTTCTAAAGACACATCATTTCTCTTCTTTTGCTATGAATTAAAATCCCATTTGGGGAGGCATAAACCCCAAGCCATTTCCTACACCCACACTGTTCTTCACCACTGCACATGTGCAGGGGTTTATTACTCCAGGGTTCCTTGTTAGCAGTGAGGTATATTGCCTGAAAAAAATCTCAAGAAAAAATGTGGATTTTGTGATGAAGTAGGAGGGCTTAAAAAATCTAACTGCCCTGCCAATTTTGTCAGTGTCCTCTGAAGGCTGGAGATACAGCTCTTCCTCTGCAGAGCAATCACTCTCATGCTGCCTGGCACACATTCAAGCCTGCAGTTTCTGCCTGGTGCCCACTTCATCCCTCTGCCTCCATAAAACTGGAAGGAGTAATACATACAAGATGTGCCTGTACTTGCATTTCTGTCAGCCTATTACACCAGGAGAGAGCAATTTCATGGCCAGAGTACTTGGCTGAGTTCAGAGAGATGTTTCCTACTCCATTAAATGCTGTAAAACAAATCATACACCTTCCCTCCACTGGCTGCTGCTCCTGCTGCTCACTGTGTCCCTGCAGCATAAGGACTTGAGTGTCAAGTCTTGTTTTGCTCAGTGCACTACAAACCATTCTGACTCTGAAGACGACAGATGTTTATAGTGTGGTGAGACACTGGCACAGGTTGCCCAGAGCAGCTGTGGCTGCTCCATCCCTGGGAGTGTTCCAGGCCAGGTTGGATGGGGCTTGGAGCAACCTGGGCTGGTACAAGGTGTCCCTGCCCAGGGCAGGGGTGGAACAAGATGATATTTAAGGTCCTTCCAGCCCAAACTATTCCATTACAATACAGTTGCTGCAGCAATGGGAGTACAGAACAAAAGTGCCTGCATGGTCAGCTGATGAATGGTAACTCTCTAAGCAGCTTTAACCCAGGTGTTTGCAACTGCTGCTCCTGGTTCTGTAAAGTGGGTCTTACACTCATCTCTTGTCACAGTGCATTGGAAAGGGAAGTCCCTCCAGAACAGGCATCATTATTCATCTCAGTGACTCCTTCCCAAAGAGAAGGAACTTCACCTGCCCATTGAATCTACCCCAAATTTGCTGATAAACCAAAATCTACTTACGTTGCTTTCATGTTGTTTTTGGGTTCCAGGGGAATCTCTAAAACTTTGGTGTTGCCAATGATTTTTTCGTAGCTGGTGGTGGTGACAGTTTTGCCCGTGATGCGATGGACTTGGTAGAAAGCATGAGGCTTGAGTATCCGTTCATCCGCTGTCCCGATGAAGATCTGCAGGCCCAAGGGTTTGTTCTCCATGTAACCATGAAGCTGGAAAGACATTAAAAATCTGTTAGCACACACAGGGCTTGCAGTGCCTTCATGTCAGGGAACCAAACACATCTACAGATACATAGACAGATATGTCTCTCCAGCACTGATTGTTGGTTCAGCAACACCTGAAGGTGATGTTGTTGAACACCAGTTGTTGCTTCACCTTCAGTCGTTCCTCTTGCACTGCATTCAAATATTGCCTCTACAGGTAGAGATGGCATTTTTGGTCAGCACAAGGTCTTAGTTGACCTTAAAGAGTGGTGCCTCTTGGGTACAAGGACACAAACAGACTCCTCTGTACTAATTAGCATTCATATAAACAGCATTTGTGCAGGAAAGCCAGAATGCCTCCACAGGCCAGGACACAAGGACATTTCTCCTTCCTTATTAACATTCAAAATTACAAATCAAACCATTCTAAATTTCTCACATAACCAAAAATGAGAACCAGACATTTATCTACCACATAGCCAGGGATCTAGCTGAAAGGGAACTTTATGGTCTGAGACATGCTAAATTTGTTTTCAATTATTCTGTTCACATACAAAAACCTTGATGAAGCCATACAAAGCAAATAGTACTGGAAGATCAGAGAAAAGGAAGATTAAGCTAATGGTATTCATGGCCAAACCAGGGTTTTTTTTTCTTCTCTCTTTTCACCAGTCAGCAGGAGGTATCTTTGCATAGAAGGATTAATTCCCCCCTGGAAGGGACCACATGCAGCATCAATGCAATCCTGGCAACCTTCCTTCAGTATGGCAAATGTAAAGCGACACTCACTCATCTGAGCCATCATTACTCATTTAGCACATATTTTCGAGGCACACAAAGACAGGGTCTATGCCCCAGAGACCCTACAACCCAAGGGCCCAAATGTGCAGCCTCCACTTGCATGAATAGCTCCATTGAAGGCAACAGGCCTTAAGTAAGGGTTGTGCAAGAGAGAATTACAAACCCAGCCCAGCTCAGCGCCAACACCTCCGATAACTCACTCGCAGGAGCGCTTTGGGAGATGGTGGGGAGGGAAAACAGGGTACAAGGCTTTGTGCAAACATGTCAGTTGGCTCTGGGAGAGAGGTGGAGGAGGAGTGGAGCTGGACTCCACGCACAGGGGTTGGCACTGGGGAAGCAAGGCTGCCAAGAATGTGATAAATACGATGGCAGCCATGGGGAGATTTAGAAATGTAGAGTGTAGAGGAGATTAAAGGCAACAGAGGCCTAATGGTAGGTCTACAGGGAACAGGCATGAGTGTAGGAATCACCCCCTGTTTATCCATGGAGGCTCACAGCTCAGGGCCTCTGGGAGTCGGACGGAAATTCACCCCAAGTATGGCTCTTTCAAAATCCAACATTTCCTGGCCTTCAATGAAAAGCCATTGTATCACCAAAAGCCATCTTGTCTTCATGAGGGGAAGGGGAAGAGCAGTTTTTAAGTACTGAGCATGTTTATTGTCCTGCCTGACAGAGTAATTCTTTGTGGATCCAGCCACAACGAGGAGAGGATCCTTTGGACTGGAATGGTTATTGCAGTGACAGCAAAGCAGCTTTTGCTCACCCTCTGTCCTGGCAGAGCAAAATCCCAGAGTTATAGGTGGGAGACTGAAACGGAGGAAAACAGCTAATAAATTACAAAAGGAAATCTGCCCCCAGTGAGCACAGTCAGTAGCAGCTGGAACAGACCTGGTTATATACATGGCTTTTAATACTGGCCACCTTTAAAAGCAATTTTAAGTGGTGTTTGCTCATGTATAGAACTAGTTCCCAAGGCAAAACTGCTCATGGTCATCCCCTAATGTGTGTGTCTGTGGTATTAGTGTATACAGCTTAAAGAAGAGAGGAATTGACTGCCTGCTCACATGGCAGTGTTGGTATTATCTGCTGGCTGAGGGGTACAAAACACACAGTAAAAGGTGTTCTGGTCCTCCACAGGAGCAGATTTTACATAAACTGTCTGATCAGTGAAAGGAAGTAACACCACTTTTTGGTAATTTATGATATTATGGCAATGCTTTGGGACAACACCACTGTAAAATCAAAATAGCATTACAAAATGGCAAGTACAAAGAGACAAACATATGTAAAAGAGCCAAGTATTCCCATTTGACCGGCAGTGTCCTCATCTTGAGTCAACTGGTTGCATTTTCAAGGCTATTTACCATAAGCATTTCTAACTACTTTTCACCTGCTAAGAACACATGAGGATGACTTAGGAACAAAAAAAAAAAATAAAATAGACAACCCACAGAAATGCACCAGGAACTTTAAAATCAGAGTTTTACACCCAGCTCTGCTACCAATTTACTCCACAGCTTCAGCCACATCACACAACCTCTCCCTGTACCTGTGTAAGGGGAACAGAGCTGCTAACCTTGCTTTGCAGGGACACAAAAGAGTTAATATTTCCTGCTGCATTTATAGAGAAAAATTCATTGTGAGCCAGAATGAAAGAACACATTAAAGCTACGTTTCAGGTACATGTCTCTCCCCAAAGCTGAGCTATGAAAGACTGTTACTGTCAATAAACACTCACCTCCACTGTGCAAGGCAAGGCAGCTGCTTTAGCATTTAACCACTGTGCTGATCTTTTCTTTGGCCAAGCAAAGGAGGAATAAATCTGACCCTTAAACAAACCTTCAGAAGTGAAGACTTAAAATGGTTTTTAAATAATAACTCTGAAATTCATTTTTTCCTCCCGTAGCAGCAACCAAGCTGCTGTAAAGCCTGTTTTTCAGTGCTGCTCTTCTCATCTCATGGGAAGGGAGATGAGCCACAGGAGCTGCAGCAGGACCAGCCCAGGGCACCAGCCCCACACCAAGGTGCTTCACCCTTTTTCACTCTTCTTTCCATGAAGAAAACGAAATCATGTGGATTTCAGTTTCAAGAGAGTGAGAATCGAGAACGATTTATGAATTCAGAACTCTGCGAGGAAATATTTTTGTGTATTATAAGGTGACCTATTCACAATAAAACTCCCCCAAACTGTATACAGATCAAGCTGGAAAAAACCCAACTCCTTTGAGTCACATTTGCCACAAGGGGAAAGAGAAGCCAGACATGATGTGTACCTTTCCATACTCTATTTTGGGATTTTAAGATCCTATTTCTTTCAGTTGAAAGATTTTTCTTAAACTTTGCTTTTGCCTAGCTCTTAGAATATTAACATAGCCAGACATGGGCTGGTCTGTGACCTGAGGAAATGCAAAGCACTTTGGCAGATAAACAAATAACATCATTCAGAAAACAAGGAGACTTTTCTTGTTTGGTTTTCTGCTGTGATGGGGTTTCTAAACAAAATGGAAATGTGTGGCAGGATTAAAATCCTCTCACCTCTGCATAAATAAAATTCATTCATCCTGCACTCCATCCACCAATCAATACCAGGCAAATCTGGGAGAGGGGGAGGTATTCAAGTGCCATTTGCAGGAAGGCACATGTGTAATTCTGCATGCAAAAAATTAGCAATGTGCCTTTAGCTGTATCAGCTCAGTTACCCAGCCAAGACCACACATCAGGCATGTGCAACACTTTTCTCCTGCACTACTTCAAAACTCAGGTCTTTTCCAAACTGAGACCACAGCTCCAAACACATAGCACTCAGAGTCTAAAATTCCCATCTCAATTCACCCCCACCCCTGTGCTCAGGTGAACCAGACCCTGCACTCCCAGCAGGCACTGCCTCTGCCTGGGGGGATTGTAACAGAGTCCTCTTGGCTGTGAGGAGCAAATCTCTGTGCACAAGTGAACCTGCAGCACTGCTTCCTTCTGCTGTCTGGTACCTGAGGGATAAACTGACAGCAGAGCCAGAAATGCTGCCATTCAGAACTCTGGGATTCTGTGAAAGAAAGGCAAATTCCTTAAAGATGCTTGTAGGTGGTCACCTATAGACACAACATATGCATGACCAGGGGGAATTTAGTGCAACCATCAAAACTTAGATCTTTCAATCTTGGATATATTCACTTGAGTTTAAATACTGTATTTTAGCTAGAACTGCATTATTAGCAAGGGAAGGGAAGAATCACAGGAAATATGCAGAATAACTTTGTTATTCTTAATGGGGAAGCCAGGGCAGAGAGGGGCAGTGATTTTCAGGGTACCACAGGAGACAAGCAGCCAAAGCACAGTGAGAAGCCCCAGGTCCCTGTTCCCTGCCTGGCTGCAGGGGTTACCAACCTCGCTCTGCAGATGGCACAAATGCACAGTAACACCACTCACTAGCCACAACACATTGGTTCCCACTCCTATCGAAGTTTCTGCCTTTGGTTTTTTAACTGATGGGTTGCAGAGCCTAATTTTCTTGAGGATGTATAGTTCAGGTGCTGCATACTGAAAACCTCTGTGCAAACAATGATGGGCTTTGCAAGGCAAAAGCAGCAGCATCTGCAAATCTTACAGGCACCTAGAGGAGTCCCAGTAAGAACTGTGCGATACAGACCCCGATCGTCCTAGAGCCCACAAAAGTAATTTGTTTCCCATTCATCCTGACAGAGCTTTGCCTGTCAGGAATTCAGCTCTTTCTCCCCTGGGAGGTATAAAACTGCATCTTTAAAACTGATTGCAAGCATCTTCCTGTCTAGACAACTCCAGCTATTGCCAGAAGGAAAGTAAAAATTCAGGGAATTAATTTGCTAGCCTCGGTGATTTTATTTGCTTGAAAGCAATCAGCTCTCTTGCCTCTTTCAGCTCACTGTAACATGAGGCTTGGTCCATCAGCAGTGTGTGTGACTTGCTCCCTCCCTGTGGAAGTCACTGGAGCTTCCCCCTGTGCAGGGTGTGCATGTGTGTGGTCAGTGCCGAGCAGCGCGACGCCGACAGACCGTCCTGGCTGGGAGGGAAAAGTGGGAAAACAGAGCCCAGCGAGCAACATCTCATTAGAAGCAAGTACAAAGCCGCGTGAGAAATCGCTTCCTCCTACAGCTTCTCCCTTCCTGCTGTGCCCAGGCAGATAAGCAGGCCCAGAGAGGTTGGCCAGGAGTGGCACTGCCCAGAGGCAG